TCTCTGCTGTTTTTTTTTTTTTTCCCACACTGGGCCTTTATTATCTCCTCTCTGAGGCCCAGCTTTAGCACAGGTGATATGGGAGGTCCTTCTGGATATGTGTTGCTTTTATTGGTTAATGAATACAGAAGCTGCTTGGGCCTATGACAGGGCAGAATAGAGCAAGGTGGGAATTCCAAGCAGATAGAGGAGAAAAGAAGGTGGAGTCAGGGAGACGCCACACAACTGCCAAAGGAGAAAGATGCCAGTTGTTGGCCAGAACCTTATTGGTAAACCACAAGCCTAGTGGAGATTCATAGGTTAATAGAAAAGGGTTAATTAAAGATGTAAGAGTTAGCTAATAAGAAGCCTGAGCTAATAGGCCAAGCTGTGTTTTAATTAATACAGTTTCTGTGTTATTATTCGGATGTAGGTGGCCAGGGAACAAACAAGCAGCCTCCTACTACACACAGGCCATAGGCTTTGGAAATCAACTTCAATCTGGTCACCTCTGAAACCACCTCACCCCACAGTGTTTGAACGGGTAGGGCTGTTGCTGTGCCACAGTGCCCTAAATTATAGAGGCCAGAAAGAGTTAACCCAGAACACACTAATAAATCCTCAAAGTCAACAAGAATAATAATAGAACATTACAGGTTCACTCCCTCCATTGTAAAATTTAATGTTTATAGAACTACAGATAATGGTGAATTACCAGAGAATTACATTTTTTCACTTTGTAAAGATTCCTGAGATCTGTATTTTCTTCCAAAGAATGACTATTAACCCTAATCAAAGGAAACACTGATCTCAAGCTGTGGAATACGACTATACACATTTAGGCTTGTGTAGTAAGGAGGAGGTCCCTTGTTGGTTCCTGGCTGCTTAGCCCCGAAATAACCACACAGATACTGTATCAATTGAATCACTTCTTGGCCCATTAGCTCTAGCTCTAGCTCTGGCTAACTCTTACATCTGAATTTAACTCATTTCTAGTAATCTGTATATCGCCACATGGCTGTGGCTTACCAGGTAAAGTTCTCAGTGTCTGTCTCTGGCGGGCTACATGGCTTCTCTCTGACCCTGCCTCCTTTCTCCCAGCATTCACTTTTGTTTTCCCTGCCTAGCTCTGTTTTTTTGCCTTATCACAGATCAAGACAGTTTCTTATTCATTAACCAATAAAAGCAACACATAGACAGAAGGACCTCCCACACCAGGTTAGGCCTTCTCTCTTCATTGAATCATTCTGGGAACACCCTCATAGATATACCCAGAGGTGTGTTTCCATGGTGATTTGAAAGCTGTCAAGTTGACAAGTTGTTAAGATTAAAATGAACTAATTAGTTACCACAACTAGCATGCTTCAAGTACTGGATGTGGGTGATCCCCCACGCATGCATGCATGCATGCACACACACACACACACACACACACACACACACACACACACGTGCGCGCGTGCACTCACATGCACACACACACACAAAGGAACAGCCAGATCACACTGCACACTGCTGGGGAAGGGAGGCAGGGTGGTGCTGGGAATTGGTTTCTTATCCAGACGTCAGTGATTCTGACAGCCTCCCAGGTGTGGGATCCACTGGTCTTTTAGCCTAAGGTCCTCCAGTCATCCTGGTCCTCCCATCCCATCTCATTACAGTTTGCTTTGCCCTTGGTTTGCCCTTTTGGAAAAGAACAGCTAATCACTCTCATCTGACCACACTTCTGCGTGAACTTGACTTCAGCGGAGTCTGTCTCCTGTGGGCAGGATGAGCCCAGGGCTGACTATCAGCAACTGACCACAGACAGTGTTGTCTCCTGCACCTCTTCTCACCATACTCTCAAGAGGCAATGAATGCTTTTCCTCCCAGCGAACCCCACCCCATATTTCATGCCAGGCACCCCCCCAGGCCCTTCTCAACTCTCACATGCTGCCTGTGGTGCCCTTTCTCCTTCCCCCTCTTTCATTCCAAGCTACTGTTTCTGCAATGTGTTTCCTACTCTAGTTTTGCAGACAGCAGCAGATAGTTCAGCATTATTACTGCTGGAGACTGGGTTAAGAAACAAACAGTGTTATGTTTTCTAGAGACCATCACCCGAGCCCCAGGTACAGGGTAGTTGTAGGAAGAGGGAAAGAGAGAGGCCCACCATTGCTCTTCTGGAAAACCCACTTTTCCTTGGACACGAAGTCACTTGGACAGAATGATGGAGCCAGGAGGGTTCACTCTTTAGTAATCTGGACCATAAGTTGGAAAGAGATTCTTGCTTGTAAATGCGATGCTTTGGTAACTGGTGTGGGAGAATTGTCTGTATTCTGTCAATTGTGTATTTTAATAAAACGCTGATTGGTCAGGCAGGAAGTATAGGCAGGTAACCAGACAGGAAGTAGAGGCGGGGCAAAGAGACTGGGAGTATTCTGGAAAGCAGGAAGCTCCCTCCGCAGTTCTGCCCAGACCACCGGAGAGGAAAGATGTAAGCTGCCCTGCTGGAAACGTACTGAGCCATGTGGCTAACGTAGATAAGGATAATGGGGTAACATAAGTTACAAGGACTAATAAGAAGCCTGACCTAATGGGCCAATCAGTTTATAATCTTATGAAGTCTTGTGTGTGATTTTCTTTGTTGCTTGCCGGCTGTGGAGTACTGGGTAGAACAGATACCCCAACAAGTCAGTCCTCATGTTACAGGTAACTGTAGCAGTCTTCTTTTGCTTGCAAAGACTGAGGTAGATGCCTTTCATATTCGGGGCAGGCCTTCCCCATTATAGGTCTTGTGCCTGGTTGATCTATGCAAGGAGAAGAAACTGGCATTTACCAACAGCTCTTGAAATACCTTAGACTGCAGACTAAGTATTTTTAATGAAATATAGCTAATAATATATAAAAACAAAGATGAAATGTCTCATTGTATGAGATATACATCATGCTTCAATCTCTCCCATACTTCAGTCTCCCACAATGACAACCATGACAGCAGTAGGATTCCACTGTCTGTGTTTTCTGTGTGAGCCACCAACGTCAGGAACTCCTGGATGCTGGCTAGTGATGAAGACCCTTTGCGCTCAGGTCTAGGCAACCCAACGATGGGTTTGAGGACTAGGACTCTGCCTGTTTGACTATCTCAGGTGACTCCTAAAAACCCCCAAGTTTAAGAACCATGAACTGAATGAGTCCTTTGTGCAGTGAGTCTGATTACAGAAAGACAAAGTTAATAAGTATAAGTGAGGACATCATACCCATTTTTAAGCCAGAGCTCAGAGGAGCTGAGTATCATTTGTAAGACCACACAGCTGGCAGAAGAGCCAGGACCTCCTGGTCCAGCTCCTTTAAAGGACCACGCCCACTTCCAAGTTGTCCCCACATTCTCTCTGAATGCCTGGCCATTGAATTGTGCTGAGTCAGCACCCAATGAGTGTGGCAGAGACTCTGTAGAGAACCAATGGCAGAAATCGAGTGAGAAGGTGCTACCTGGAGCTCCAAAACAAGGGGTGCATGGCAAAGACATTTGACCTGAAATGTGAATTTCTAGCCCATGCTTTCATGCTGACACCAGCTGAATCTTGGAGTGTTTAAAGGTAGAACTTTGTAGGCACGGTGTGCTTTCTGCTTAAACTTTGCTGTTTCCTGTGTAACGAAGCCTAGCTCTGGTCCGCTACTTGTGTGGTATAGGTGCATGTCATGTGAGTGTGTGCACATGTATGTTTGTGTATGATATAGGCACATGTTCTTGCATGTGTGCATTTGCAGATACATGTGTGGGGGCACACATGCGGAGGACAGAGGCTGATCTCTGTGCTTTCCTCAATTGCTTTCCTTCTTGTTCTTTCGAACAGGGTCTCTCACAGACTGACTGGTTAATAAGCTCCAAGGACCCGCATGACTCTGAACTCCCAGTTATAAGGCCAGTATCACAGTTGTTAATGTGCACACTGGGGATCCTCATGTTTGCGAGGCAGGCTCTCTCTCTAGCCTTCAGCACAGCTGCTATAACACAGAATCTGGGGTCAGGTTGCTTGGGTTCAGTCCTACCTCCTCCAACTTATGTGATCTTGGACAAGTCAATCTACCTGCTACAGGGTTAGTCTCTTTCTCTATAAAATGAGGAGATCCAGTGGGGGTTACCCAAAACTTACAAAGGTGTCTCCTCCCTGTATCTATTTCCTTGGCAGTACCCTCCCACACTCAGCCAGATCTTAACCACACACTTTCTTGGAGCAATACGAAGGAAATGGAGGAAACGGAGACTTAGGAAATGGAGACATAGTCCAGAAGGGGATGTTGAGCCTCCTGGATCGAGAGTTACAGGTGGCGGTGAGCCATCTGAAGTGGGTCCTGGGATCCTGACTCTGGTCCTCCACAAGAGTAGTAAATGCTCTTAACTGTTGAGTTATCTCTCCAGCCCAGTGAGCCTTTTATCCAGCTAAAGGCCTAACAACCTCATGGGGAGAAGCCCTCAATCATCCCAGATACCCCCTGAGGCCACAGACCAGCTACCATACCCACACTGACCTACCGACCACCATAGCTAAGGTCAACCAACCCCAGAACACTTTTGTATTATTTTTCGTGACTGTACTGATTTAGACCCCACCACCAGTGTTCAGGGGTTCCTGTTTTTTCCCTGAGTTTATTTTTTGCCTTTTTAATATTGGCTGTCCTAACAGGTATAAGGTGGTACTGCTGGCCATTGTCTGTCTTGTCTGGAAAAACATCTGTGAAGTTCTTCCTTGAGTGTGGGGCAGGCCTTATTACTCAGAGGGAAATCAGACTTCTAGCTCCAAAAGAGGTGCACTTATTACTATTAACCAAGAAAAAAAAGGATAGAAAAAGGGAAGGAAGGACGGAAGAAGAGAGAGAGAGAGAAAGAGGGAGAGTGTTCAAGTCAGGCATCATGGCTCACATATACACAGAGTGAGAGCTGAGGCAGGAGGATTACCATGAGTGTAAATCAAACCTGAACTACTTAGTGAGTTCCAGGCCAACCTGAGTTACAGTGTGAGATTTCATCTTTAAAAATGAATAAATGAATACATAATAAATAATTAACAGTAAATACTTAAGGAAGGGAAGAAAAGAAAGTATGTGTGAATCCTCGGGGACGGTATCAAAGATGCTCATGTTTGCTGAGGGAGACTGCCGACTATTTCTGTGAGCCACTGAGATTACTTTTCTAGCAAATAAACATTCCCCAGGTATTGTCTGTAAGATGCCTCGTGTATTATGGATGCTGGAACGATGAATCCCACCCCTGAGGCTGTCCATCCACAGCAGGGGGTCAGCTCAGAGATTTGCTGCAGTGAGTTCTGATTAACTATGCCCTATCTTCTCTTGCTCCCGTGGTATGACGGTCCAGTGCCACTCTAAACGGGCAACACTGCTGACAAATGACGGAATGTGGCGAGTGTTGGCATCAGCTGGAGGCAGCTCCGTGTAAGGAAAGGCCGCGCCCACTGAGCTGTGATGAGCAGGCGGGAGGCCTGCACTTGTCTCCAAGTGTGATAACAAAATACATATTTGTGTCTTTGTCCTAGACTCCTATCATAGAGCTCCTAAAAAACTTGATGACCTTGATATTCTCTAAGTGGTAGGAGTGCTTTGGGCATGCTAATGAGATGACTGATGGCAGCTTCAGGACAGGGCTGCTCCCCAGAGGAACCCCTTGACAAGAGGCTGCAACTTTCAGCTCATCTCTGAACATCTGGGAAGGGGCGGGGACCTGGGCATTGAGCTAATCACCAGTGGTCATGATTCAATTAGCTATGTCTACATGGAGCCTCCAGAGAAACTTCTAGAACACAGGCCCAGGTTTTCGTGTTGGTTAGCGCCCAGAGGCATACCCAGAAGGGTGTACGGAAGGTCTGTGTCCCTCCTCCATAGCTCACCCTCCGTATCTCTTTCCTGCAGTTGCTCCTGAGCTGCTTTATAATACACTGGCAATCATCACGTGGAACACTTCCCTGAATCTGGAGTTCACAGCTAATTGTTCGGAAGGACAGATGACCTGGACCAGCGGCTGGAGTCAGAAGTGAGGCGCTCCTTCAGTCTTTCCTAAGCTGGTGTACCTGTGCTGACTCCAAGTAGCTAATATCTTAGGTTAGTTGAACCAAGGAGTGTCTGAGGAGTTAGGAATCGGTTGTGTGAGGCCAAAGTCCACACATTTGGTGTCAGAAGTGTGACTAAAACCATTTCCGATGGAGGGGGAGGTCCACTTGGGCCCTTGTCCCTGGGGGATGGGAAGCTTCCTAAGGCGAGATGTCCTTGCTTTTCGCTTGTGTTGGGAACAAGGTCTCTTTCCTCCCATCTTGAGTCCTAGCGCTCACTTCCCGAATGGTGATCATAAGTTTCACATAAAATATTCATTCAAAGGCAAATTAGAAAATCCTCCAGGTGTCTCAATGAGGCTGACTTTCTTGGTCCCTGGGTGAAACAGCTCACAGGGCTGAACCTGAATGACAGATTTAATGCAGGAAGGAAAAATCCAGAACTGGAAGACATTAAATGGTGAGAACTGATTTGCTGCAGAACTGACCTGAACAGATTAGCTCACAACATGAGTCCACCGTTGGGCTCGGGATTATCATTATTTTAATGTGGGTTTTGAAGTACTCTCTTAAGAGAATGTGGCTTCATAAACTTAAGGAAACTTTGACTATCAGAAAAAAAAATTTTTTTCTTTAATCATCCGTGCCCTGACGAAGAGTTTTGAAATACCGAAATACATTTAAAGTAGGGGCATGAAAACAGATAAGTGGGAACTGAGAAGCCACGGCCTAGGATGAGTTGTGGAAATTCAGCACTCTTGTGGGAGTTACTAAGGGGAGCATGAAGGTGGGGGTGACAGACGGTGTAGCTCATATTGTCTGACAGAAAACTTGCTACAAGTGAACACTCTTCAAGCACTGGACTTTGTGGGAATCGTGTGGGTGTGGCTTCTCATCTAAGGGGCCCTCTGTAGTCTTCTTAGCACACACCAAAACTTCAAACCGGCTGAGAACAGGTGAGTAGCTGTCGCTTGCAGCAGGACCTGAGTTTTATCCTCCTCTCAGGTTTTAGCTCTTTATTCCCGCTCTGTCTCACTTGGTGACTAAAAGCAAAGAGAACCCGGGCAGACAGCCACGCCAGGAGCTGACAGAAATCACCCCAGCCCCCACCCCCAGTTAAGTGAATGTGGAGCAAAGAGCAAATCCGCAACAAAGTAATTGCAGGCCTAGCATTGTCAGTGACCACAGACACAGACAAGCTGGAACAAGGCTTTGTGTTTGGCTTTTGTCTGCAGCACCTAACGGGGACAGGACTTGTGGGTCGGAAGCTGGTTAGCAGACCGCGCTGACAAAAGACGCGATTTTTGCCTTGGTGGATGCCAGCCAAAAGAGGAAAAGGTAATTACTGGAGAAGCAGAGCTGACCTTTGCACAGCACAGAGAAGCAATTATCCCTAGTGGCTTAAGATGAAAAATACCACCAGGATGCCTTTCCTGTTGAGGCAAGAGCAGCCACATCACCTCAGACTCGATGTTGGAAGAGACCTGGGCAAGACCCTCTTCCTCTGCCGACACTGAACAGCCTTCAGGAGATTGTAGAAAATGCTGCTGTCAGGTGTAAAAGGAGGAAAACTGATCTTCATGGAAACGGAAAAGGCTCCACCTACCAGAACAGGCACACTTTGAACCCCGAAGACGTGTCTAAGGGGGCTTTCTAGCATGTCTTTATTTTATAACTGCTTTTAATAGATAAGAGTTTCAAGTGGCTTTGAACTCATTATGGAGCTGAGGAAGAACTTGAGTCAACCTTTCTTCCTTCCTTCCTTCCTCCCTCCCTCCCTTCCTCCTTTCCTCCCTTCCCTCCTTCCTTCCGTCCACTCTTCCTGGAGGCTCAGCAGCATCCTTCAACTGCCTTCTCTCTTGATGACTGCAATGCCCTCTGCCTCAGAGCTCAGAGCTGCATAACGCACATCCGGAGGGAGAGACAGTCTCCTGGAGACTCTCTGTCTCCATGTCTCAGCCCAGATGGGCCACAGGCTGTTGCTGACCCCAAGCTGTGATGTCCCAATCCAGACTTGGTGCTTGAACTGTATTCAGGAACTGAAACAGACTCCACACCCAGGAGGTAGACTAAGGCGGGTGCTGCTGGGGGACAGTCACATCTTGCAAAGCCTGTGGGCTGCACCAGGTAGAGACACCTCCAGGAAGGAGGAAGAGGATGAACCTCAGAAGTACCATCAAGGAACCAAGAGGTGCAGGTCAGGGAGGAACTGCTTCTAGGAGGTTCTATGGCAAAGGAACACACCACGGTGGAGGCCAGTGGGGCACCTGGAGGGCAGGGTAGAGACTGGGGGGCACCAAGTGGACAGGGTGGAAGCTGTGGGGCACCGGGTGGGCTTCCCACAGATGAGCACTAAGCAGAGGAGAGGAGTAAGTGGAGCAGGGAGAGGCGGGAAAGAGCAGTTTGCAGAGTGAACACAGGCTGGGGAAACTCTGGAGACAACCACGTGATGCTCAGCCTTGGTCCTAAGAGAGAAGAAATGCCACTGTAATGCCTCAGACAGAGTAGGAAGCATTAGACCCAGGGTTTGAAAATAATCTCTTTGACCCAGCTTGGAGAGGTCATCCCTGAGCCAGGGGCTACAATTCCTTCTAATGACTCCGACTTTCCTTTCTCCTCCAGACAAAGGTGAGTCATTCAGAGAAAGAAGCTGCGGTTCCTATCAGCAAGGATCATTCTGGCCTGCCTGGAACCATCGTCAGCAGAACCCCTGAACTCTCTAAAGTGACTGGGGTTGGATGATGTGTCGTGAGTCATTCTACTTAGCAGTGGCCTAATGACTGTCACAGAACACGGTCAGAACTCCTGTGCTTGGGGTTTCTGATTCTCCTTTCTAGGGACCTGGACAAAGGCAGCTTTGGAGTGCTGAATAAATCTCAATGATGTCTTTACAGTTCCTCCATCCTCTGTCTTCCCACTCTTCCTGGAGGCTCAGCAGCATTCTTCAAGTGGCTTCTCTCATGATGACTGCAGTGTCCTCCGTCTCAGAGCTGCATAACGCACATCTGGAGGGAGAGACAGTCTCCTGGAGACTCTCTGTCTACATGTCTCAGCCCAGATGGGCCATAGGCTGTTGCTGACCCCAAGCTGTGATATCCCAATCCAGACTTGGTGCTTGAACTGTGTTCAGGAACTGAAACAGACTCCACCCCCAGGAAGTAGACTAAGGAGGGCGCTGCTGGGGACAGCCCGCATCTTACAATGCACCAGGTAGAGACACCTCCAGGAAGGAGGAAGAGGATGAACCTCAGAAGTACCATCAAGCTGCCCAGCCCAGGACAGCAAGATACCCTGGTCTGCTATTGCTGAACTCGGGGGAGACCATTCATTTCAGAGAGCAGGGTTTTGTGATCAGTGGCTTTCTCTGGAAGTTTCTGCACCTGTCCCACTATGATTTTGCCCCCAGGTCTCATGGGAGGATACACCTCAGAGTCTCTGACTTCTGGGACAAAGGCAAAGAACTCAAGGGCAACTATTTCCTGATGTAACCCTTCACAACCAGAAACACTCACTTTTGGCCACAGTGCTATGGCTCTAGAGGCCATCATCTAAAATCTCACATCTAGAACGATAAAAAGAGGGGAGGGGGCTTCTTCAGAAGTTCCCGAAACAAGACTAACTACCGGCTCCATGCTGGTCCATGTGTCCCTACAGCTGTGGATTGAGACTCTTGGCTGAAACAGGCCCTATCCAGCCTCAGTCACTTGTCTGAGATCTAATGTCTCAAGAAAACATTTAGGAGGTGCCTATTGTATGTGAGCACTCCTGCTAGGAGCTAGGAGATGTTTCAGTGGAAGCTCCAACCCAAGCCCCCCTTCAAACCCTACCTCCTCTGAGAAAGTCTGCCAAGTGGTAGCTCCTCCCTCTGAGATTCTCAATATGACACTTACAGGGTATTTAAGACCCTGTCCTTTGTCCTTGGTCCTTAGACCTGGCACTAAGTTTCTTTCCTGACTTTCTCAAGAGTCACCCAGGAGTTTCTTTGCTCTGTTTATTAAACCTGGTTTTATTAGTTTGGGTGGATTTGGCTTACTGCATTGGCAGAGAAACCCACTATTGGGGATTTCAAAAATTCTTTTCAGGAGGCAAGGCCATTTGTTACAAATCTGCTTTCTTGGGGCTGGAGAGATAGCAGTTAGGATCACTGTCTGCTCTTCCACAGGATCTGGGTTCAATTCCCAGCACCCACACAGCAACTCGCAATTGTCTGGAACTCAAATTCCAGGGTATTTAATACCCCAACACAAGCATGCAAACAAACAAAACACCAATGCATGCAAACTGAAACAGATAAACCACAAGTTTGCTTTCTTCAGGATGCTTCTGATCTGGGGAACGAGAACGCAACAGTTCTGAGGAATAGCAAGGGGTAGGAGGGGTGTTTCTGCTTTCCCACCTCTGGAGGAAGGGCAGAGTGGGGTGCACATGCTAACCAGAGACAGGCCTGCTTAAGCTGTCACCAGATGAGGAATGGGAAGTCACACTAGCTGGCTCCCACTTAAGCCCGGCAGCTTTGCTTTTATAGGCTCCAGGGGAAGCATGCACAGCTGTGGGTGGACTTTGTTGACAGCCCTGTGGGTGACCTTAGGCCACAAGACTGCCGAGCAAGAGGTCTCGAAGATACTGGGCACTGCATTTGCTTTACACTAATGTTTTCCCCCTCTTTGCAAAAAGAAGCAATTAGGGGTTCATGGCATAAATCACCTATTGGAGATACCAGACATTTCTAAAAGCGGCTGTCGTGTGCAACCACTTTCATGAGAGCCGCTCCTTCGAAATGCTGAAAAGCCATAAATCAAGGAGCCTAATGGATTTTGTCCTGTCTATTCAATATCTTCCAGGGCATTGAATTTAGAATGTAATGCACTAAGGAGGTGGGTGTGGGGTGGGGGAAATAAAGCTCTCAGGCAAACCATGCTAGCCTGAGTATTTTCAAAGCAAATGCACCACCTAAAAGGTTTCCTTTTTCTTGGTACGAGGCAATGGTTGCTTCTCTTAGTGGCCAATCTATCACCTGCTTGCAGCTTGTCTCTTAGGAGTGCAGAAAGAATATGAGCAGGACCCTAGGGCTGACTCTTCAGCTGTTTGGCCTCAGGCCAGTGATAACTGTTTTGAGCTAGAGTGCTTGTCTTCATACAGCAAACATAGGGCTCTTAAATTTTTTTATTAGCATGTATTAGTGCTATGACATATTAGATTTCCTTATGATATTTCCATATATCTGTATAGCACACTTGGATGGTATTCATTTGATATATTTTGTAATTACAAATAAGAAAGGCTACGATAATCAGTCAGCCTTTGTCTTGGAGCAATCACTTCACACTTGGTATTCCTCACAAATGTTAACTTGATTGTTGGTCCCTTGCTCCCTTACCCTCTAATTCTTGAGGTCTGGTTTAAAGAGCAGGAGCTTTCTACCTGTGACTGGGACAGAAACTATGAAGGAGTATCTCTCTCCCTCATTAAAGAGCAAATCACAGGATGAGCCACATCACTGCAGACCTAGTGTGGGAGGGTGAGTATCCATCCACTTTGAACTAGGGAGGGGCCCCAGCATCCCTGGCAACTTTTTTGCTTTTTTCTTAAGGGAATGATTGGCCACTCTGTTGACTTGGAAGAGCTATTTTTCAGAACAAAGGCAGAGTCTCTTTCTTCCTGCCTGGAGCATCGGAGTCCCCCGAGAGCATGGGTCAGGGTAGCTCTGCTCTCGGGCCCACCCATCTGGTCATGAGGGCTGCTCTCATCATCTGTTTGGAAAACTCAACTTGGAAAACAAAACGATCATGCGAGATTTCTTCATCCCGTGGTTTGCGAGCCATCAAGTTGCTCATAAATTCGATGTAATTTGAGCTGTTCTTGCAGGCATCACATGGCAAGTACTCATAAGAGCTGGCTAGACTCCACAGACTCCTAGCTTTTAGACCTCATCTTTGGTTTTTGCTTATAGGTCATTGATATACAACCTTTATAAAAGAGAATAAAGACACACGGACACAACTAATACTCTTTAAGTCAGTCAATACCTTCGGGCTTAGAAGTGTATGTAATTCAGTACCCCTCCCTGCCACTGGGACAGTGGGTGAGGGACAAGCATTAAGACAAGAAAGCACTTGTGCATTGCCCTGGGTTTCTTCCCCAGTCCAGACACATCCAGATGGAGTGTAAACATTCTTTCTTTCTTTCTTTCTTTCTTTCTTTCTTTCTTTCTTTCTTTCTTCTTTCCTTCCTTCCTTCCTCCCTCCCTCTCTCCCTCCCTCCCTCCCTCC